GAAAAAGACCCCAAAGGCAATCACAGCAGCAACAAAAATAAATAAATAGGACAAGATCAAATTAAAAAGCTTCTGCACAGCCAAAGAAACTATCACAAGAGCAAACAGACAACCTACAGAATGGAAGAAAATATTTGCATGGTACACATCCGATAAAGGGCTGATAACTAGAATCTATTTAGAACTCAGGAAAATCAGCAAGAAAAAATCAAACAACCTTATCAAAAAATGGGCAAAGGACATGAACAGAAACTTCTCAAAAGAAGACAGAATAATGGCCAACAAACATATGAAAAAATGTTCAACATCTCTAATCATCAGGGAAATGCACATCAAAACCACAATGAGATATCACTTATCTCCAGTGAGAATGGCCTTTATGAAAAAGTCCCAAAACAATAAATGCTGGTATAGATGCGGAGAGATAGGAACACTCATACACTGCTGGTGGGACTGCCAACTAGTACAACCTCTGTGGAAAGCAATATGGAGATACCTTAAAGAGATACAAGTAGAGCTACCATTTGATCCAGCAATCCCATTACTGGGCATCTACCCAAAAGAACAAAAGACATTCTTTAAAAAAAGACATCTGTACTAGAATGTTCATAGCAGCACAAAACTACCCAAGTGCCCATCAATACATGAGTGGATTAATAAAATGTGGTGTATGTATACCATGGAGTACTATTCAGCTATAAGAAACAATGGTGATATAGCACTTCTTGTATTTTCCTGGATAGAGCTGGAACCCATTCTATTAAGTGAAGTGTCCCATGACACTTCACTTAAGCACCACATGTACTCACCAGAAAATCTGTTTTACTGATCAACACCTAAGTGGACATACAGGAATAACATTTATTGGGCCTCGGGCAGATGGGAGGGAGGAGGAGGAGGAGGCAGGTATACACATACATAACAAGTGTGATGTGCACCGTCTGGGGATGGACACACTTGAAGATCTGACTCGGGTTGGGGGTATGGGGGGGCAAGAGCAATATATGTAACCTAAACATTTGTACCCCAATAATATGCTGAAATAAAAAAAAAAAAGAATGATGTGGTCTCTACAAAATCTATAAGAGGGGAGACAAACAGCAAGAAACTACCCAAAGGAGAGAGATACTTAACCTAATGGAGAGGCACCAGAGAAGCACATTCAATCAGGTTTCTCCAAGGCCTAGACAGAATTTCCTTCCATAAAATTCTACTCCTCGGTTCTGGGTCCTGGCACACCAAGCAGTCCAATAATGTAATTACTAATTTCTCTCCCTAAATACCTGAATCCCAGGAAACGGGTTTAGTGGATTAAAGATGGCCACAGATTCTTTGACATGCCTCCCATTAAGAGGTGAGGTCTATGTCTTCTGTAGAATCTCCGTGGCTCTCTAACTGCTTTGATGAGTGGAATACAGTGGACATGATGCTGGGCCAGTTTCCAGGCCCAGGCCTTAAAAAAAAGGCAACTTTCACTTTCTGTTTCTAAGAACATTCAATCTGGGGGAAGCCAGCACCAGGTAAGAAGTTGGACTTATCCTACAACTATCGTGCTGTAAGGAAGCCCAAGCAGCCACATAAAGAGAGAAGAGAATATCAGCTGTTCTGGCCAAACCCAGCCCAGGCACCAAATATGCCATCGAAGAAGCTATCTTGGCCATTCCAGCCCCAGCAGATGTGACAAGCCAGCCAAAACCAGATTTGAGGCCCAGGCATATGGTCCCACGTGAGCAATCCTAGCCATCTTCAGCCATTCAAGCTGAAGCCCTATGCCATTGTGGGGCAGAAATAAGCCATTTCCACTGTGTCCTGCCCAAATTCCTGACTGTCAAAATTATGAATAGAACAAAATGTTCGTTGTTTTAATCCACTATGATTTGGGTTAGTTTGTTATGCAGCAACAGATAACTAACTGTGTGATGGAGTATTATGATCCTTGGGAGGTTTGATCTCTGGTCTTAGTTTGTTTTATGCTGCTATAACAGAATACCTAAGGCTGGGCAATGTATAAAGGACAGAGACTTATTTCTTATAGTTCTGGAAGTCCAAGGTCAAGAAACTCGTATCTGGAGAGAGCCTTCTTGCTGCATCCTCCCATGGTGGAAGGCAGAAAGGCAAGAAAACATGTGGTGGGTGGGTGTGGGGCTGAACCCATCCTTTTATCAGGAACCTACATCCTCAATAACTAACCCACTCCAGCTATACCACACGCAGCTCCTCCCCTGTGGCTAAGACTGTGCCTGACATGGGGTGGGGGTGCAGCGGGGGACAGAGGTGGGAAAAACATAGGCAGCCCTCAGAGCTTCACAGCACAATCTCCAAGCCTTATAAACAGATGATGACAAGAAACATGACACATGAAATGACAAATATGTGCACAGGGCATTGGGGGGCACAGGAAGGCCCACCAATTCAGGTAGTCCACAATAAGAGCTACACAGTAGATATCACATCATTCTCAGGATCACCATCCTTGAAAGATGCAAAGTTATATAAATTTATGTATCAATTTAACATGTTCATATTTCATTTTTCTAGTACTCTTGACATTATTTTCATTAGGAAGGAGAAAGTCACTGCATTTATGGAGTAGTACAACTTTTACATGTTTCTGTTTCTACCCCATTAACCTAAGCTGATTTTATTGCTTTTATGTGTGCTAATGTAGTTTTTGACAAGTGAGAGTAGAGGGGACATTGTAGTTGGCTGCCTCTACACCCATTCCTCCTCCCCTTTGTGTGGTAGCCACCTGATTTGGGTGGGAGGGACCCCCAACCCCAACTTTAGGAGTGAGCCTGCATGTAGCTAAGCTGATTAGGGTATGTCCATCTCCTGCTGGCCACTATGATGGGTTCAGGGATAGGCAGTTTACCCAGGCCAAGCCAGGCAACCAACTTCTACAAGAAGGAGGGCCCAGAGAGCTGCAGAAAAACAAAGATGTTGCTTTGATAACTTCATAAATCTCTAAAGCAAATTACATCTAAAGGATACTCAACTATGGGAGTTTTCCTTTCTATAAGATAATAAAGCTGGCTGCTTTATAGTTTCAGCCAGTCTAAGTGGCCACCAAACAAATTCTGATACAAAGTGAGTGGGTCACTGAAACACACTCTTACCCTCAATAAGGCTATTAACTGTGTTTTATAGATGTACAACACTCACTCTTTATTAACTCATATCGGCCACATGTAGTGGGGAGGACTAATAATGTTTTTTCCATGGGACAATCCAAGTTCATGTGATCTAAGATGTTTGGGATACAAGGACTGAAACCTATCTTAAATCTCAGCCCTAGGCTCTCCTTTCAAAGGCCATACATTCCTAGTTTTCTCCTGCTTCCTCTTCCTCCTCTAAGGCCATCTAGAATTTCTCTGATAATTGCTACTATAGAGATAATCCTGAGCAAATCTCCCCCCTGAAAAATTCTGGTCCTCACCCTTGGGGCAGTCACTGGGCCCCTTACATTTGTAAAGGTTAAATCAAGCATGGAAAGTTAACAAGATTCTGGTTTCTTGGCTAGAGTAGCTAGGGCCACAGGGAGTGATTTTTAAACCATCTCTCAAGATGTACCTGCCCCTCCAGAATCATGAACCCAACAGGCAAGGTCCCAGGAGACCCTGTCCCACCTGGGCAGGTACAGAGGATGCAGCCCTGCTTGTGGTCAGTTTTGCCCTTCACACCCTCATAGTCATTTTCCCCTCATCCTCAGCTTCCAGTCTGGCTTTCTGTGGAACGTGGCTCCAATCTTCTCCATCCTACATGCTGCCACGCCGAGCACCCATCACCTGAGACCCTCTGCGCCTCTCCTACCACTTATGCCACAACCTGGACAGTGGTTCTCACAGGCATCTTCATTACCCCCTGACTGCTCAAGAGCCCACCTCTGCCCCTCTGAGGAACCTGGGCCCTTAGCCTGGTCTTGAAGGCTTTTCTCAAGGGCCTGCCCTGTCCCCAGTCCCCACAGTTCCTCTACAGCACAGACATGAGCCCTAAAGACAGTTGGCCAATCCAACCCAAGACCTGCCTCCTCCTCCTATCAGTCACTGAGAGGACAGCCAAATGTCCCTGCAGAGAGCACCAATGGATCAAAAGCCCCATCCTTTCCCCAACCTTAGAGCAGCTTCTTTCCCCAGAGTCCTCTGTCCAAAGTTAACTGTTTATTGATCTATTCACTTCTTTGCTCTCCATCTTCCTCAAAGGAGCATATAAGCCCCATGAGGGCAGGGGTAGGAGCCTCATCTCATGGAATCCCAGCACTTGGAACCATGCCCAGGACATAGTAGGTGCATTCATATTTGTTGAGCATCATTAGAAAGACAGAGGCCACATGAATCCCTTTGGTTCATTTCCTAAAACCTCTCCAACTTAACAAACATTGGTCAACATTGGGTTTCTTCCAGCCTCTGTCAGCTGGCAGTGGGCTATCCCTGGCCCATCTCTGTGTTCCACTGGGTAAATCCTTCCTATTGGACATTGATGCCTTCATAACAGAAATGCACCCTCTCCTTACTACCTATGATTTTGCTTTCACTCCCTGAGAAGCAATACTGGGGTTCCCCCTCACTGCTCCCAGGGGAAAACCTTGCAAATTTTTAAGAGGCCTCTGTACTCCTCCCAAAGTTATTTCCTCCAGAAGTAGTTTGTGGTCGCTAATACCGCCACACAATTAAAGAGCGATTCTGCAACGTCTGCCATTCTCTTCCCAAGACAGCGCCCTCCTCTCCCAACGTCTCTCCACTTTTAAGTCCAGCCTCCAAGTCACCTTGTTGCCGGTGTCCTCCTGATTCATACCGCTCACTGGCCTGCTCATTTGGGCCCAAGGGTTCTGTCTGCACTTTGCACATTGTCCCTACAGATATCCAATTTGTAGCCATAGACTCAGTGAGTCCCCAGTTCAGTTCCCGTATCCTTCACTTTTTGTCCAACACCCCCTCCACCTCCAGCCTCTCCGTCCCCGTGCCCAGCCCCATCTCCAGGTCGCAAGGCTCACGCTGGGTTACCTGGAGCCGGTGCAGGCGCAGAGCGTAGCCTTGCACAAACAGCTGAAACAAGAAGCGCAGCTGCCCAACACTTGGAAGCTCCTCTGGGCTTCGGAGTCGCCGCCTGCCGCCAGGCCTGGCTACGGGAGCCTCGGCTGCCTGATCTGCGGGCAGGGCGGCAGGGATAGCGGCCTTGGTTCTGGCCCTGCGCGGGCAGAGGCCACGGCCGGCCGCCCGCATCCCCAGCAGCGCCCACCTCAGCCTGGCGCAGGCCAGCGCAGCCATGGGTCGCACTCGCCTCGGGTCGGAGCGCGGAGCTCCTGGACCAGCGCGGGAGCTCAGCAGGGCAGGGGCGGGTTTAAAGGCCGGGGTGGCTCGGGGCGGGTCCAGAAGAGCCTCTTCCTGGTCACTTTTCTACGCGGCCCTCACCCTCTCCAAAGCAGGGTCTAAGGAACACACAGGAGCCACCTGCTCCAGCTGGAAGCCCCCGGCGCGGGGGAGGGCCGGAGATGGACAGGGTGACTTCGGGAGACCCACAGCGCTCCGACCATGGCCGCCGCCGACGCCCCAGCCCGCGCTCCCGCGGACTAGCAAGAACTTTTTTTGTCTGAACTCTGGGGGGCGGGAATGCAGCGAAGTTCTTGGAAGCCCAGACGGTTTCCAAGACGCGGAGGCCTCACCCAGGGAGCCGCCGGCCGGCCTGCCGGATCGCCACCCGAGAGAGAGCGCCACAGCCCCCGCCCGGTGGCTCTCGCGTCCCTGCTGCGGAGGCCGAACTGCCCGCTGGCTTTTCCTGATAGCCTCCGGGCTGATCCCGGCGTCCGAGGGCTGAGCGAGGCCACAGGCATCTGATTCCTGGAAAGGTGAAGCTGAACAAACAGACTTAAGGATTAGTGGTTTGGGGGTTTTGCTTTGTTTTTTTTTCGGCATATTATGGGGGTACAGATTTTAAGGTTTCAATAAATGCCCATTTCCCCCCCTCCCCCCTGCTTTGTTTTTCTAAATGCAGTTCTCCCCCACACGCCCTTTCCTGCCCAGTCTGCTAAGGCAGGGTGTTTAAACTGCAGGTGGAGACCAGATTTAGTGGGTTGTGACCAGAGTTATTTTTAATAAAATGAAAATAATAAAATAGTACAGAAAACTTATTGCAAGAAGAAATGGTATTGTCTCATGAATCCTCTGTTTCACGTATATACAAAGTATAGTTTTCAAAAAGTTAAATACATGACTCATGCAAATATAAAATAAACACAGCTTCAGAGATTATCCAATGCATGAATGAAGGACCCAGCTGGATGGTAAATCTGGTTTTAAGAGCATTGGAAGAATGGGTTATCTGTAGGCAGCCAGAGGGGAAAAGAGCACCTTAAATTCAAACTTGACTGACTCCTAAGCGGCTGGGTGTGGATTTCTTTTTATTTATCCTAGGGTTGCTAATTTCTTGAATCTGTGGCTGAATGTCTTTCATCAGTTTGGAGAGTTTTTTTTGCCATTATCTGTTCAAACATTACTTCTCCCCATTCTTTCTCTTATCCTAGGACTTCTAGGATTTGGGTCCCTTTCAAATAGCTAGTTTACAGGTAGCTTAATACCTTGAACAGTGTTTCACTATGTTGCTTGGGCTGGTCTTGAACTCCTGGCCTCCAGGGATCCTCCCACCTTGGCCTTCCAAGGTGCTGGGATTACAGGTATGAGGCACCAAAGGCCTGATTTTATCTCTGACAGTTGCCTGAAGACACTAGCAATCCAGGAGCACCTTAGTGCAATTTCAGGAGTGAGATGTGAGATGCTTTGAAGCTGAGCTGCAATTCATTGGAGGGCTAGTGTATTTCCCATCCTTAATCCTTTTAGGTTCCAACCCCAAGTTCAGACATGAGAGATCATGGACTCCAGCTTTTCTTCTCCCAGCCACGTGAGGGTCTATCACTCAGCTTTTCAGCTTCCTCTTCTGAAAATGGGAAATGGAAATGTCATTAATAAGAAAGTGTTCCCAAATGATTAATTTACCTCTAGATTTCTGCCTTCCAGTTTTTGCGAGGTATAACTCAAAACAACACACTCTAATCTTGCAATGACGAAGCCCCGAGGTATGTTGAAAGTTGTTGTATATCAACATGTATAGAGCTGTATCATTCTTTTTGAAAGCCACAAATGGGCTGGGCATGGTGGCTCATGCCTGTAATCCTAGCACTCTGGGAGGCTGAAGAGGGAGAATCATTTAAGCTCAAGAGTTCAAGACCAGCCTGAGCAAGAGCGAGACCCCATCTCTACTAAAAATAAAAAGAAATTATCCAGACAAGAAAAAATTAGCCGGGCATGGTGATGCACACCCCAATTACCCAGGAGGCTGAGGCAGAAGGATTGCTTGAGCCCAGGAGTTTGAGGTTGCTGTGAACTAGGCTGACACCATGTCACTCTAGCCCGGGCAACAGAGCGAAACTCTGTCTCAAAAAACAAACAAACAAAAAGCTAAACACACATTATTCCAGTGCATGGATTAACCATAATTTATTTCATCAGTATCCTACTGATTTACATTTATGTTGTTTCCAACATTTTCTTTATCTATATAAATGATGCTGCAATAAATATCTTTCTATATTTGTAATTTTGCACATGTGCAAATATGTGTGTGCGATAAATCTCTAATAGTAGAATTGCTGGTTCAAAAGACAGGTACATCTAAAAGTACCTGCCCTTGAACCATGTTTGAGAGTTTGTTTCCCTATACTCTCCACTACATAATGGCATCAAACTTTTGATCTTTGTCAATCTTATAGGTAAGAATTTTTTTTTTTAATTAATTTATTTTTTTTGACACAGAGTCTCGCTTGGTTGCCCAGGCTAGAGTGAGTGCCGTGGCGTCGCCTCGCTCACAGCAACCTCAAACTCCTGGGCTCAAGCGATCCTCCTGCCTCAGCCTCCCAAGTAGCTGGGACTACAGGCATGTGCCACCATGCCCGGCTAGTTTTTTCTATATATATTAGTTGGTCAATTAATTTCTTTCTATTTATAGTAGAGACGGGGTCTCGCTCTTGCTCAGGCTGGTCAGAAATTTTTTTTAATGTAGTTTTGATTTGCCTTCATCTTATATGTAAATTTGAACATTTTTGTATATGTCTAAGAGCCATTTTAATTTCTCTTCTATGAATTCCATCATGTTTTCATTTTATTTTATTCACTTATTTTTAAAGTTTTCTTCAAATTATAAAAACAATTTTTGCTTCTTGTTGGGTAAAATAAAAAACCAGCTACATGGTATTCTGAGAGACACTTTGAAGTCAAAATATCTTAGAATGACTGAAAATACAGGAATGACTAAAGATATACCAAACAAATGCAATAAAAATAAAATAGGAGGCATGCACAGTAGCTTGCACCTATAATCCCAGTTCTTTGGGAGGCTGAGGCCAGGAGTTCAAGATCACCCTAAGCAACATAGTGAGACCCCCATCTCCACAAAAAAATTAAAAATTAGCCGGGTGTGGTGGTGTGTGCCTAATGTACTCTTAGCTACTGGGGAGGCTGAGGCAGGAGGATTGCCTGAGCCTAGAAGTTTGAGGTTGCAGTGAGCTGTGATGATGCCACTGCACTCTAACCTGGGCAACAGAGCGAGACCCTATTTCCAAAATAAATAAATTAATCAGTAAGATAAAATAGAAGTGAAATATTAAAATCAAACTAAATCCAAGGCAAATTTACAAAAGGTACCATCCATCAAGAATATATAATAGTCATGAATCTTTATGTACCTAACAACAGATCCTCAAAATATAAAACAGAAGTTGTTAGAAATACAAGAAAATTTGTAAAATCCACGAATCTATAATACTTTTGGGATACTTGAATGTGCTTGTCTCAGAATTTAACAAATCAAGTAGATAAAAATAATTAAGGCCATAGAGAATTTTAAAACAAAATTAATAAATTAATAAACAGAGACTAAATATTTTTCAAAAATACACATGGAACATTCAGAAAAATAAACAAGTATTATACCATCAAAAATATTTCAATAATTCTAAAAGGTAGAATATACACACTCTCACCACAATGTAATAACGTTATAATTATATAATTATAATTTAACAACAAAAGAATGACTCCTTTCAAAACACAAAAATACTCAACTTTTTTTTTTTGAGACAAAGTCTTGCTCTGTTGCCCAGGCTAGAGTGCTGTGGCATCAGTCTAGCTCACAGCAACCTCAAACTCCTGGGTTCAAGTGGTCCTCCTGCCTCAACCTCCCAAGTAGCTGCGACTACAGGTGCAGGACACCATGCCTGCTAATTTTTTGTTTCTATTTTAAGTTGGCCAGCTAATTTTTTCTATTTTTAGTAGAGATGGGGTCTCACTCTTGCTCAGGCTGATGTCAAACTCCTGACCTCAAGTGATCCTCCCTCCTGAGCCTCCCAGAGTGCTAGGATTACAGTCATGAGCCACTGACCCTGGCCCCAACTATTTACATGTAAATAAAAACACCTTTCTATATGACTTTTAGGTCAAAAAGGAAATCAAAATGGAAATTATAAACAGTTTGGAAATGAACAACAACAACAGAAACAATGTATTGAATCTTGTTGGGAATGGGCAAAATATTATCAGGTAAAAATGTGTAGCATTGAGTGTATTTATTAGGAAACAAGAAAGCTTCGTTAAGCAGCCAGTTTTTTAAAAAAGGTTAAAAAATATAAAATACCAAGAAAATGAACCCAGAGAGGGGGGAAAAAGCATTTCCTTTTCTCACAAAAAGATTCCAAAGGAAAGCAAGCTGCTGGCATTTGTGCCTTAGGCCAGTCTCCTTACAATTCCACAAACACGTGAGAAAGAAATAGCCCTCAAACATTGAAAACTGTCCTGTCATTATCAGTTAGGCCTTAGTGTCACCAGGAGCTGGTCTGGCACTCCCAGCTTGGCTTTGGTGTTCTCCTGTTCAACATAACTCATTTCACAGTACACCAACATCAGACAGGAACACTGTGCTAGTCAGCTTGAGCTGCTATAACAAAACACCATAAACTAAGGTGGCTTAAGTGAAATGTGATAAACAACAAAATGGTGTCACTCTGGTTCAGAGCACTAAAATGGAGTCGGGAAGCCATTCTAAGGACTGCCTGGCACGACCTGCAACCTTGCACAACAGGGACTTGCCTGCAATTTTTGAGCTGGCCCAAACCTCCATGACTACAACATCTTGGAAAAGAGTTGAATTTGGCCAGCAACGCAACTCTTAAACTGCAAAAAGCAGTGAACCATGGACTCATATTAGGCCAGTTTTCTCCACCAGTGATAATTCTTTCAAAAACACTTATGTAATCACCCTCAGTGTCCTTTTAAAAATCCCTATTTCCCTTTCCTTTCTCAAAACACAATTTGGCTTCTAGCCAAATCTGTGTCTCCCAAATTGCAATTCCTAAGACTCCAATAATCACTTTTTCTTACAAAAAGAAAAAAAAAAAAAAGAAAAAGAAAATCATCCATGATCTTGCAAAATGTATATAAAGCAACAAAATGAAATACTCCATTGTATCTTTTCCACTTACATCCCTCAAAATGAAGTACTGTTCATAGTTCAGTGCATATTCTTCCACTTCCATATTATTCCATGTTTATATAAACCTTTTTCCACCTACAGTTAAAAAAAATCATGTTGATACTCTAATGTGAATACTTTTAAATACAAAGGCTGATGGTTTTTAAAAATATGCTTATTGACCATTTCTATTTCTTCTATGAATTCTTTAGTCATACCCTTTGATTTATTTTTCAGTTGGATCATTTGTCTTTTCTAATTGTTTTGCTGGTATTCTTTTTCTATTTAAAGATTCACCTTTGTTTGTTATATGTATTACAAATATTTTCTCCTAGTAGTTTGTCCCCTATCTCCCCACTATATTTAGGGTGACTTTTGTTAATTTTTCTGTGGTCCAATCTGGCATTTTTTTCTTTTATGGTTTCTGGGTTTCATATCTTGCTTAGGACTATCCCAAGATTATTATGGGGAAAATCTCCTATATTTCACTTTATCTTTGAAAGTTTCATTTTTCATATGCTACATTTTTTTCACAGTTAGCAATTCAATCCATCTAGACATTTTTGT